TACTATAATAGATAAATAATTTTATTTATAATATTATAAAATTTTTTTATTAATTAATTAAAAAATAAAAAAGTTTTCTTAATGATATATTTTGTAATTATTATATAAAATTTTTTTTGCAACTATTATATATAGAAATAATTTACATTGTACTCTACCCTTAAATAAGCAAGACCTTTAGTTGGCTTACAGATATGGCATCTAGTGTATAATTTATATAATATAAATAAACTATTTAAATTAGGTATCAAAAGTATATATGTAGTTAGTTGTAACCTTCTATATAAAAGTGTCTCTGATAACATCTATGTCTTATAACTTGAATAAAATAGTTGTAACCCTAAGATAAAAGACTTTAATTTAAAAAAATATATATATATATAAATAAAATTAAACAAGATTAATACAAAATTGTAAATAGTTATAAGTTTGAATAAATAGAATAGTAGCAAATAAGATAATTATTTCTAAATAATTAAATTTGATAAAGAGAATTATTATAAATATAAAAATGAGTTTTTTAAGTATTTTTTTAAGAATATTAAATAAAATTATAGCTATATATATATAAAATAACTATTATAGAGATGAGGTCTCATAGCCTAGTGGTCTAGATGCTCTTTTCTTCACAGACAAGATCAATAGTTTAATTTCAGATGAAGGCAAAAACTCTGTAATCTATAAAAGCATATAAATGAACACAAAGCCCTATAGCTAAATCTATATAAATAGAAGATCAAAATATAAAAAAGTTTCTGGAAAGAAGTTTTCCAATATAGAGAGTTAGTGCTCAATGCAAGAGAAATGGTAAACATATCAGAAATAGAGAAAAAGCACACTAGCAGATGATACAGTGAACATAAAAAGAAACTATGAAAAAAAAATAGACTTACTGAAATTCAAACACCTTTGATATTAAAACCAGTTTAGTAAATACAAGTTATACTAAGTTAGATCTAAATAGTAATCTTAGTACCAGCTTAGTAAGCTTGAGTTGAGGGTGAATCAAGAGCTATGAATACTCAGTAACATTAATATAAATAGTAACCAGATAGTCCTAATCTAATATATTAATACAATAGTAATGTAAGGGTTGCACATATATGCAATAGTGTTAAAAATTAAAAACTTTAAATAGGAAACCTACAGACAGGTTTTAGATATAGCAATTAGTAGGTAACCTGTAGACAGAGCCTTTAAATAGACAATGACTAAAGTTGTATGTGTGACTAATTGTAACCTCATTGATAGACTTTGTATATAATGATATAATTATATACAAGCAAGATTGCCACTTCAAAGAGAAAAAAATAAAATAACCATTATAAAATATAAGCTTTAATAAACATATATATATATAAATTAACTATATATTAAAAATAAGTATATATCTCTTCACTTTCAATTTATTCTCTAATCTTACTTTACATTCATCTTAATCTTTTTTTTTTAACTTAATTCATTCTAAAATTAACTTTTAATATATACAATAGATAAAATATCAAATTAATCTTTTATATATTATTACAAATACCCAAATCTAAATAAGTCTTAATCACTTCTGTCAGTTTAGGTCACAGATAAACTAGTCTAAGCTTCTACTCTTTTTATAATATTTTTAAAAATAAATTTATATTTTATATAAAAATTTTAAATAATTATTTAATAAAGATAGAGATATGATCTTATTATTAATATTAAAATATATATATATATATATATTTATTTATTTAAGAGTGTAATAATCTAATAAAGTGATAAGGTTGTCAACTTTTTAAATAATAGATTGGATGTTTAAATCCTATTAACAGTAAAAATTTAAATAATTATCTATATAATAATTATATTATAACAAGTGGTATTAATAATTAGATTAAAATACTTGTAAAGATAGTTGCATCAATATAACTAGCAGGTCATGAGGCATCTGTGTAATTTATTATACAGAGAAATGCAAATTGACAAATCAGATAATGCAAACACTATATAAGTTCTTGTAACTGTATAAATCTGTTGAAATTGGATAACAAGAAGTTTATTTAAAAAGATCCAAATAAAGAAATAGTTGGATCTTTAACAACCTTACAGTAAAGACTGGTTTGAAAAAATAAATACCAAGATCATAGTACCTAGTTGTAGTAGTTAGACAAACAAAATTTCTAAATTGGAAGTCTCAGAAATATTACCAATCAGATTACTAAAACAAACTGAAAAAAATATACTAGACCAATCTAATATATTAATAGACTGATTATAGTTCTATACAGACTATCTGAATTGAAAATTTAGTAAAAAGGCAGGTAAAAAGGCAAAGATATACTAAAGTACTAAGATTATATTATGAAGTAAATACTGAAGTCTGTGTGAACTTTACAAAAGTATAGCAGTTAAATAATATAATTCTAACTACAAGTGTTAGATCTGTTATAGTAATATCTAGGTCAACTATAAAAATAAATACAAAAAACTCTGAAAAGTTTATTTTAAGAATAAATTAATCCTGAAGTTGAGACAATGATCTGGGCATCTGGATATAACCCAGTAAGTTAACACAAGTTACAGGTTTAGAGAATTTAAAATAGAACATTCAAGCAAAGGTGTTAGGTATAACAATTGATGAAGAACCTTTAGGCAGACTCCTTAAATAAGTAATATAAAAAAGTTACACATGTTGCCAATTGTACTCTCTTCTGTAATGGTTTATAAAATCACATTACCAAAAAAGTTGTTAATAAAAGTCAAAAAACCAAAGAGATTATTTTAACATTAAAAAAAAAAAATTTAAAAATAAATATTTTTATTTATCTATGTATATTTTTTTAACTAAAATAATCTATTTTAACTTATTAAATAAACTTATTTAATTTAAAATGTTATATACATATATGTATTTTTTTAATTCTTTTATAAAAAAAAAATTACATATAAACAAATAAAAATATTTATCTTTAATATATAACTAACTCATTTTTACATTAAGATAACCTACATTTGCCTACTAAATAAAGTTGTTTCATTATATATAATAAAATTGAAAAATAATTATTTTAAAAAAGTTACATATTTAAAATAAACAAAATTAACAAAATTTCAACTTAATTTTTAAATTAAATTTCTTCCATATAATTGCAAAATTTAATTTTAAATTACTTAGTCAAGTTGAAAAAGGATTTTTGTTCAAAGTTTATAAATTCGTATAATTATTATAAACAAAATCTAAGAGAGATATCCTATGCCTGGTATGATCTGCGCCTATCAAAAAATCTATTAAAAATGAAACTTTTGCAACTTGATCCTTTTGGTTTCAAAAAACCGGACTTTTAACATCCATAATTACTACACCTTTAGCTGCGTAGCAAAACATGTGTATAAACCTAGTATATCTTTATTATAAATTCCTTCCTGAATTTAACTTTATGCTGCACTAAATTTGGCTAAGTTATTTATTTATAGTCCATAGAGATCTTATAGCAGAAGATAGTTTTAACTAAGTACCAGACAGGTATATGAATTTCCATTAGTAAAATATAAGTATTATGTGTATAGAACATTCCAGTTCATTATTGGCAGGATTGAGCCAACTTTATAATCTTGATGACAGCAAACTTAATAAAATTAATACGTATAAAAAAATATCTAGCGCTAGTAGAGTAGTTGGTTCCAGGTCACGTGGTCATAAGAGGTGTACGAAACCCTCTAATTACTAGAGATGGTGTTAATTTCAAACATGGTATTAAAATACTACGAAATTAGCATGGAAATAATAAAGACAAATATTATTATTATTATTGTAACGAAAATAATACGAGTGATGCACGATGACTACTTAATGATCAACCACTTATCGACCAACCATACTCAAAAAAAAAAGATTGGTCACGATCAAACAAATTAAATGATCGATCATTCCCGAATTGATCATCGTCTACTAATTACTAGATTTTTTCTTATCTTCAATATACTTTCTCCAGTTCATAGTCTCAGGTTGCCATTCTCCATTATATATACATAGAATTTTCATCCTCTCATGATACTGAAGGTCTGGTAGAAGCTTTGGTGTAATTAAAAAGTATCTAAAAAGAGGAAAAAAAACGATAAACTTCAAGTTTAATATATGGGAAATTATTTATGAACCCGGATCGTTTTATATATAACATATTGGTCTGGATTCAAAAATAATTACCAATTTACGAATGTAAAAATCATAACTTACTGTGATGTATTAGGTCGACAAGCAGTTTGAACCATCTGACTATGAACCAATCGTTCATTACGAGGATCCATTCCTTGATTTATTTCATCAACAACTCTAAATGGTGTTTTAGATAGCTCTTGTAATGCCATTAAGTACATTATAGTTGAAACAGACCGTTCCTATTTTTCAAAATAATGTGTAAATAACAGTTTTTATGCAAATAAATCATTTTATATTAAAGAATGCACACATACACCGCCTGACTGTCTTTGGCCTGTTAATGCCTGAAGCCTTTCATTATCTCTATTTACGGATTCATTATCAGTAACCTGTACATGCTGTGAACTATTTCGTGATATATCTAAATGTACAAACCTAAATTTCACCAAAATATCAACACCCCACTTATCATAATCTTCGTGGGTACTGACACGAACCTCACCAGCACATCCAATACCTATCAACCATATTGATAATAATATTAGCAACATTACATCACGTGTATAATAACATTAACTATTAATGAATTAAACAAAAATACTTGCGGTCAAAGGCATTAGAAAACTCTTTACTAATTTCTTTAACTAAAGAATTTAATCGAGGTTCCCATTTTTCCTATTCAATTTCAAAAAATGTGTAAATATCGCACATAAATTTCAATAAGATACTTTATAAACATACTCTCAAAGTTTCTATGTCACTAGTTAATTTCGCTAATCGAGATGTCTTGATTGACAACCTAGATTTGATTGAGTCGATCTAAATGAATGCAAAGGGTTATTTTCATTTCAATATTTCTAGTGGAACCGTTATTATCGCAATTTGACCTTTATACCTCAGCTTTTCTTGCATCATATGTTTCAATAACACGTGAATCAATTGCGTAGTGTAAATCAGCTTTAGCACGTTCACTCGCAACAGCATCTTCAAGTTCTTCAAGTGTCATTCCTTGACTAAGCTATCATAAAATAATAGTTATAAACATTAGAATCTTAGCATCCTAATTGTCTAAGAACAATTATTATGCGATATATAATGTAGTGTACTTCTTGTAATTGGCGACTAGTCTCTGTATCAATACCCTCAATTCCAGCATTCGCTTCGTTAAGTAAACGTCTTGCTTCTGATTTGGCACTATTAAACCTTGCATCAGCTTTAATAATAATGAGGTCAGATAGTGTTTATATAAAAATCATCAAAAATAAGTGTGGAATAATCTACCTTCTGAAAACTTTGTGTGAGCCTGTTTTAGTGCCTCATCCCTGTCTTGAGTTTGCCTTTCAAGTGCATTAAGATCCGCTGAGGCTTGCATATGCTTTAATGTTGCCAAAATTCGTCCTGAAAATAGTTGCATACTTTCATCCATAATTTTCTGTAATAAAAAAGAAAAATAGATTTAATAAATTATTACTTTGCGGAATTAAATGGTTTATACATAGTACTATTACAAACTTTGAACTGTATAACAAGTTGTCCTCTTTTTTTGGCGATTTTGCTAAATTCTTTCCTTAATGCATTTTCTTCATTCATCATCGAAGCGGGTTGGTCAAGTTCACGCTGCAATTGGTCCCTTTTTGAACCTAAACCGATGATCGCCAAATAATTTGAGAATGCATCTTACTGAAAACAGTAATATGCCAATATAAAAACTTACCAAGTCTAACTTTCAACTTTTCAAATTCTCTTAATGCAAGTTGATTTTTACGTTTTTCTTCGTTGATTGCATTCTTAACAGCAACAAAAACTTTAATAAGACAAAAGACAAATTTATAAAATAATTATGCTAATTACAAAATAGTATAAATTATTACCCGTTCACTTTGCAACAACTCGATGGATTTTTGGAGATTCCCATACTCTTTCCTTAAATCAGAAAGCGATTGGTCAAATTGATTTAGCTTTATCTGACATTCCTGAAGCTGCCTTTCAAGTTCATGCTTCTCTTCGATGTTCACTATAATTAATCGAGTTAGAAACATATTATAAATCAACGCAACGCGGATAGGTCGAAGGTGATCGTAACTCACTTGTTGCAGTTAAGAACCTTGATGGTTTTATTCTGTTCGTGAAGACTTGTGAAAACCTTTGACCATATTTAGAAAACGAAACCGAATAAGAGGTTTCTCCAGCATAATATTTAAAAAAGGCCCTGTTGCTTTTAATAACATCATGGTTGATATCCGACTCATTCCTCGCCAAAGGCTTTAGAATTTTTAAATATAAATATTAAGACTTCAATAAATGACATGCACCAATAAACAATATCATACTTACAATCGCATGCAATTTAGACATATCACAAAGTGCGACTTGCAACCGCGGAGGTGCTTCTATTAGATCCAGAAGGTAGTTTACAAAACCATATGATCTAAGCTAACAATACGGTTTGCTATTTAAAAATTGTGTTTATATAGAACGAAAAGAAACATTTATAAATATGTTACCTGCTGGTGTGATATGGGATGAGGAAACGAATCCATGGTTGCTCTAGGATAAAAAACGTTTATTCTCATGCGGCGATTATCGCAAAGTTCTCTGGTAATAGTATGATAATCTTGTTCCATTTCGCACACGAAAGTCTATAAAAACAATTAATAAATTTCATTTTTTAGCTGATATTTCATAAAGTTTTTGCTTTACCTTATTAGCGCTTCCCAGCGCATTCTCTATTGCATCAGCGTATTGCATATCTTTAATGTTTATTTCCATACAAACTGGCCCAAAAACGCGCCCATTTAATTTTTCCTGGTTTTGCTGTAACCATTCATAAGCACGAAAAGTATCATAATCAACGCGCCGAATAGTTTCAAGACGACGTCGTTTTACGTCATCAAGCTCTTTGAGTCTTGTAATAAAACAGTTATTTCACGTATCATTTGAACAATTAATAAAAAAATATTAAATATAAATTATATATACTGCTGTCTTATCCCTTGCATTTCGCGATCAACATTATTGGCCTTTAAGTTAATTTCATCTTGATTAAATTTATTTTCGTTCAACTGTGGTTGTAATTCCCTTAAACGGCGTATTACATCTTCCTAAAGAAGGTAAATATCATCTTAGTTACGAGATTTGTGCTTACTATCTAAACAAAAGAAATACCATTTTTCGTCGAATATCGGAGTCATCGCTTCCTAAAGGTGGTGTTCTAGTTCTTTCTTCCAATTCATTGATTTCAGTACGAAGTTGAGCAATACGATTTTTTCTTGTTCTCTCCTTTTTCTTGAGATCCGCTAAATCCTTTCGAATATTCTCACTTGTTGCTTCCTTTAGTCAATAATGTGTAATTAATTTATCATTTTTAATAGCAAAATATCATTAGTAATCTAAACTAAACCAACCGATTGTTCTAATTTAGTTGCCGTTTCTTCCATTTTTCGTTTTCTTGTGCTATACGATTCAGTGCATCTTTTTTTCTCTTTGGCAGTCCGTGACACTAATTCTTCAAGTTCACTGTTTTAACAATAAAAGTTAAAAACAATAGTTATGGATTAGATATAACCAATTTTTTTCCCAATACCTTTTTTTAGCGTTTGCAGGTTCATTCTCTTTAGCAAGATTTTGGTATTCTAAGTGAGCTTCAGCACGTTTTTGCTTTGCTACATCATACAAATGTTTCGCAACACCGTAGCGAGCGAAGGGTATACGTAGTTCATATAATCGAATCTACACAATTAAATAGATCAAATAAGCATATTAATGAAAATATAATAAGATTAAATTTTGATTACTTACCCGTTTCAATATCGCTTCCCTCTCTCTGAAGCGTGTTACATCCTTTTCCAGAACTGAATTTCTTTTTTCAAGATTTTCTACCTGCTCATTATCGGCTTTAGTTGACTGTGAATTTTAACCCAATTAATTAATTAGAATAATCCACAAACTTATATACATAACATATAGAATATAGACATTACTGTTGTGAGAGATTTTTCTTCTTCTCTTAACTGAATAAGAGTGTCATGCCATTCAATTAATTCTTTCTCACCAACTGCCTTCTGAGTTTGCACAAGTAACTCGGACGGTGACATCTAGTTAAATCAACGTTGGTACGTTAAACATTGCATACGAAGCGAACCGCCAATAAAAAAAAAATATAGTGAAATGTACCTGCGCAAATTCGCTCACTTTATCTTGAGGAAGAAATTGACTGTATTTGCGTTTATGCACAAATAAGAAGTTAACAATTAACCCAGTGGGTCATGATATAGTTTTCACGATTATATGTTTTTTCTTTTGCAGATTTATAAGGAAAAAATATATAGTCGTAAAAAACACATTAATTTCAAGAGATGCATGACAATCATCGCAGTGAGGAACTTACCAAAGATTGTCAACCTGAATATTAAGTGAATTTACTTTGCTAGAAATTTCACGATGGGTTACAAGTTGCCCTATTAAGTTTAACGGATAAGAAAAATAAAGCTCTTGATTTTTTGTATTTATCAATCCAATCCAAAAGAGGAAACATATTTATCTACCATTTAATTTCCATTGTGATGTGTTATTGGATTTTCGGATCATACGCGTAATTACAACATTTCTACCTCTGTTTTTTAATTCAATTTCAATTGATGCGCGTTCTTGGCCGTGTTTAACAAAATCTGAAATCTCCTTTGCACGTCCCAGAAGCTTTGGTAATGAAGATAAATAATAAGGATAAAATTAAAAATAAACTAAAAATAAATTAAAATAATGAAATGAATCTAATAAATCTTACTGATGTATTCCATCCAAGACCTAAAGCAATTGCGCATACAATTGTGCTTTTTCCTGTCCCATTAGGACCAATGATCATATTAAGATTAGGTCCAGGAAAAAACTCTACAGAATCGTATGTGACGAAATTCTTTAGACACACTCGAACAATAGAACCAATTTGGAACCTGTTATTGTAAGTATAAATTATTTATTTTAAAGGATCAACCAAAAAAATAACTACTAAAAGTAACTCGATATAAGAAACCTTCGATATAAGAACTCTTGATATAAGAAAGATTTTTTACAAATTCCAGTTGAGAATTTTTATAATAAAAAGCATTCAATATAAGAAAGATTTTGACTGGATCCGGTAAATTTCTTATATCAAGAGTCGCTTGTATATATAAATTTTAACTTTTATCTAAACTTTTGAAACTTCATCGAACATTTTCATAATGCAGATAATGAAGAGTACTTTTTTTTGAAAAGTATAAATGACTCACTCTTCATATGCCTTTTGTCTTGAAAGTTTCTCAATGTTAGAACTACGCCTCGAAGAAGAGGCAACAGAGGCTTCTTGACTTAGTCTTTCTTCAAGCCTTATCCTTTTAACGCCCTTTTCTAAAACACTCTCGTCTTCATTAAGGGAGTCTTCACCTGCTGAATGCTGCCTGGACAAAGACTCAGTCTCAAGAATTTCTTTTCCTTTTAATCTAGACCTCCTTGACATTATTCCAAAAAACGCGAACTTTTTACGCAACCTTTCAAAAGTGGATGAATATGCTTAAATATGAAATTGTTGTATCACACAAATATGGCTCATGATTCATTGTTTCTATCACTATTGAAATTTTATATATAATATGTAATATATATATATATAATTATGAATTTGGTTCACCCGTATTGTATTTTTTTTATGTTCAATCGAAGTAGTTTATAAAAATAACCAATGTCTAGTTTGCTACGTTCGTATGATATAATTTGGTCTCCCCACGAAGGGACAAACCAGTTTATAATCGGATCAAATAATGATTTACGATTATATGAATTAATTTCACCAAAGGTACGAAACATTTCGCTTTAGCTGTTATAAACTTTATTCTATGCTTTAGTTTATGATGTATTAGAAAATAAGAAAGTTTTACTCAAATAGAGGTTGGATGGTAAAGCCGTCGTGAAAACAGTAACTGTGTACACAGATTCCTCGTGGGCGAAGGATTCTTTGTCGATGAAGGTATGCCTCAATTTATGTTATATATGGAAATGTTCAAAGTTCTTTTGCTAATAGTCTTGGGATCCCAGTGTTTTGCATGGTCACCTGATCCTAGTTATCAAAGTCTGATCGCGATTGGTTCTATTGGTTCTCAAACCGGAAAAATAGTTTTGGTGAATCTTACAGAAGGAGAAACTGAGGATGCACCATCAAATGATTCTACCGCACTATCTGATGTATTTCCAGTGTATCTGCCGCAACCATATGTCAACCTCAATCTTAAAAATCCAAAATGCAGTGCCTTATCCTTCTCGCCAGAAGAACCGCGTCTCCTAGCGACTGGATTAGAAAGGATGAAAAATGAATATTGCTTGTTGATTTGGGATGTTGAACAACCAAGGTATGATGTTCTGGCTAACTTGGGTAAGCAGAGCAAATTCTCACGCAAAAATTGTCAACTTAAACGCCTAGTAGGACTGGAAGTATTAGTGTACGCAGTGATCGAAGTATACATAATGAAATTGGATATGATAGCTATTCATCGTTTCCAATGGGTAGGTTATTAAAGAGGAAACGATTACTGGATATAATTGTAGGTTGATCAATATCTTTTACGCATAGAGCCATCTAGATCAGGTTTATCAGTATATGAAACATCGTATTCTTCACGTCCTGTACCTACATCCAGGTAAAATATGATTTATAATATTTTAATGAATATGTTTACAAATTTTCTGAATTTACATCAAATATGTATTAAGCCACATACGAGGTGATGAAATAAAGCCCACTTATCAATATGGCCCAGGTGAATTCGTCAATTCATGTTCTTGGTTCCCATCAAATAGAAGGCTAGTAGCTGGAATATCGTCGAGATATTTAAGAATTTATGATTTAAGAAGTATTTATTGATTAATGGATTATATAAAAAGTCACTCATTATACACTGTCGGGTAATATAACAATATAACACTCTTTTATATGATTAAAGAGGACACTTATGCACAATATTTAAACACTAAATCTGTTCATGGGGTAAATGTGGACCCATTCAATGAAAATCGAATTGCCAGCTTTGAAGAGAGCTACATCCATTTATGGGATTTACGCAAATTTACGGAAGCAATATCCTTTATTTTCCGTATAAAATAATATTCGCATCTTTTCTTTTAACGACCATATATATCACTTTAACATTATTATTTTCATACATTTTAAGCATACCCACCGATTCAAAACTTGCTCGAATATCTTTTTCCAAAGCGCGTTCTGGCATATTGGCATCTTTAGATAAAGATTCATACCATTTAACGTTGTATGATATTCAAGAAAGTACATTTAAATTACGACATTCCTCAACAATAGATCGAAATTCACCTTTGGAAAATTTTGATTCTCATCCAAATTTAACCGATGGAGGTAATAGTACTCCCATGAATGAGAAAAGTAGTATGCTTAGTGCTTATGCCGCAGTCTCAAACAAGACAGACGAAGAATTTGATACGCCAGTTTTATGGAAATCTAGAAAACGTATGTCGGCAAGATATTTATCAATTTTTTAAGTGAGAATAATGTATATAATGTAATTATAGGAATGGCACACAATTTTACCTTCTATATGGAATTAATAATAATAATTCCTGTAGAGAAGCCAATTTTGAGCTAACTATAATTATATGATGTTTTCTCTTTTGTTTTCTGGTTTACTTATAATTACTTACAATTTATTTACCTTTATCAAGCACGCCGACTTTCAAAGAGTATTTCTTCCTTTTCATGGATACCGACTTTTTCAACACCAACTTCACATAGATTAATATCAGTCAACAAGGACGGTGTGTACAATTTTGTGACGTTGGAAGAAGCCCCTCAATTTTGTTGGAGTCCTGTAGGAAACATGGTTGTATTTTATCCTAAAGGCTTCAGAACATTTGACATAGATGAAATTCATGGGTCCGTAGAAGAGTCTAACCATAAACGTAGCGATTCACATAGCATGAAAATTCAAGGGCATTCAAGCGATGGAGGAGTTGGGCATAAACATCACGTTTATTTGGATCTCAAACAGGATCATGATTATGATAGTGGTAATAGAACTCCTCGCCCTGGTGACATTAACAATCCCAAAGATGTTCATAGGCAATTAAAAGAATTAAGAGGAATTCTGAACCAGCAGCATAGACCTTCGGAAGGTTTATTAACCTCAATAAGCGGTGATAGTGACCATGGTCTATCACCACCGTTGAAACTGATACGAGAAGATATTTCAGTTGTTATGCGTAAAAGGGCTAAACGAGGTTATTCTATGCTTTGTACAGCAAATGAAGAGCTTGTAAAAGATTCACCAAAACTGAAGTCATTATGGAATTGGATAGCCCAAGCAGAGCTACTTTCTGAGGAGGGAAAGGCTTCCATCGGAAATGTAGATTTTAGTTTTCAAGGAGTTTATTCCATATGGACGGCTTCATTGTCAAGCGGTAAAAAACAATCACCGATGCCAACACCTAAAACATCATCTCCAAGATTCACACCTGAGAAAGTCGACCAAGGTAGCGTTGATGATAATGAAATTCCTATTGTCACGACATCAAAGTTATCGCAACGAAAGTTAGCATTGGCAATGTGTGGCTGGGATTTTGGAAAGAAAGAATTAGAAAATGTTATTCGAGAGTAAGCTATAAATTATATATTTTAGTTTATTATTTAAACTGTCATAATTAGTATAAAATAATTATTTATTTAGATTGGAAAATTCAAATAATTATGAAAAAGCAGCGGGGATCGCATTGTTCCATGGTAATACCGAAAGAGCTATAACTGCATTAAATAATAGTAAAGGTAATAAATACCTATATATCTTAAATTTCAACAATACTTTTTTAATACTTAATGCTTTTTTTTTTAAACGTAGTTGAGCGTTTGAAATTGATATCAGCTGCGTTAGCTAGTTATGCCTTTAATGGTCATGGTCAATCAAATCAAAAAAATGTGCTATTGCGTGAAATGTGCAATGAATTAAGTAATGATTTACGCGAACCTTACTTAAGAGTAATTTTTTCGTATATTGCGTCTGGTAATTGGCTCAATGTATTGCAACAACAAAAAGAACTTGCATTGCTCGATAGAGTTGGTATTGCATTGAGGTTCTTGGATGACAATGAACTCTCTACATATTTATGTGATGCTACTAGCAGGGTTAAAGCTGACGGCGATATCGAGGGAATAATTTTAACTGGCTTGACATCTGATGGCGTGACATTATTTGAGAAGTATGTAGATAACACGGGCGATGTTCAGACGGCAAGTTTAGCAATAAGTTTCTGCGTTCCACGGAAATTTAAAGATGACAGAGTTGCGGACTGGATCGAGAGGTAAATGTTACTTGTAAATTATTCACTCCTGTTTATACTTACTAAGGATATTCGATACGTTTTATTATAAATTAGTTATCGTTTATTATTGGACAAATGGCAAATGTTTCGTTCCCGTGCATTATTTGATATTGCACGCGGTAAGCATATGGGCTCTTCAACTTCCTCAGCCGCCGAAAATATACCACCTCAAGTATACGTCCGATGTAATTTCTGTAGTCAAAGCATTGCTCATAACCTATGTATACCTGGAAAGAATAATAGACGGGTTACCTTATCTGCTTCATATAATGTGTCACCAATACTACCAAAGCAAAAGGTACCTATAAGTCGCTTTTATTTGTAATATCTGAGGCATTGGCTAATTGTTAATTTCAATCGTAGACTACATGCTGTCCTGTTTGTCATAAATCTTTACCTCGATGTTCTATATGTTTATTAAATCTTGGAACACCAACAGACCAATTAAGAGAAGTAATGGCAAAAAATGGGTTAACTAATGATAGTGAGTGCTTTAAATTAAAATATATTAAAAATATTTATTTGCTTCTATGTGATCCCTAATGTTTTATATTTTTTAGTTAAAGGATCTTCTGGGTTTGATCTTTGGTTTACATGGTGTCAATCATGTAGGCATGGGGGTCATGCATTACATATGACTCAATGGTTTGAAAAACACAAAGTTTGTCCTGTTAGCGAATGTCCTTGTGAATGTCCTCGTGAAATGTAATGTTGATGTTAATTGTTAAGCTTATTCTTGTAATATATATTGTAACTATTTTATCAAGTTGTAAATACATTAATTATTGACACGCTCTTGTTATAAATTAAATTACTTGATCTATATAAAGTTTGTAAGATTTATATTTAAATTTAATTAGCAATTATCGGTGAAATTCACCAGCATGTTTTTATTATTGTTATATGATTTGTAAAAAATATGGTAGTCTATTGATTGATGCTAAATTTGTGAACCAAAATCCGTATGGATGCTATCAAGGAAAGACATAATTTAACATATTACGTAATTTAATCATTGTATGATTAGTGAGTGCAACTATTTGTTATGTTAAAAAATGCCGTAACGGTACGTAGTCACGGCATTGTGTTTAAGCTAGAGTTCAGGGCACAGAGGCATGTCATATGGCAAAAGGCATGCCCATACTTAGGAAAATGTTGTATAATTGGTCAATTTTTGTAAATTTACTTGTGATTATATATGATAATTTAATTTTTTTTTTTTAAATATTAATGGTGAGGCCTGATAATTAATTTATCAAATTACATAATTTTTTAATATTATTAGAAATTAAAAAAATTTTGTATAAAAAAGGTTATAAATTAATAAAGAATCAACTATTCTTTTTAATTTATAGTTTACTACAGTATTAAACAAATTTAAAAGCTATACTAATTTAACTACTGTAATCTAAGTGTACCAATTTAACAATAAAATAAATGAAATATCAGATATATTAAATATTTAGATTTAGAAGTTAAATTTTTCCTGATGATTACTTAGACACAAAATTAGTAGGAAAAAAAATAAACTTTTTTTATAATCAACAATAAAAATATTTCAAACAACATTAAAGAATAGAAACAACAACAAAAAGAATATCAAATAAGTTTAAAAATGAAGAGTACTGCAAGTATTAACAAAACAATTATAAGAGAAAATTAAAGTTTTTTAAAAAATTTTAACAAGAAAATGATAACTGTGAGGGATTGTTAATAATTTTGTATATAGATTTGTTTATATTACACAAACGACATATAATAGATTAAACAAAACAAACATATACAAGTTATTAAAATAGAATAGAATAGTCAAGTTATTTACAAAATAATAGATAAACAAAATATAATAAAAGCAAATAATAAGGGGTGTGGTGACCTAGTGAAGTGGTCAGGTTGTCAACCCTTCAAGTGGTAGGTTGGGTGTTCAAATCCCATTGATGGCAAAAATTTGAATAATTACCTATGTAATATTCATATTATGGTAACTGTTACTAATAATTAGTTAGGATATCTGTAATAGTAGTCGCATCAGCATGACTGGCAGGTTATAGATTATCCATGCAATATTGGAGTTACACAAAGAAATGCAAACTGACAAATCAGGTGGTGCAAACACTAGATAAGTTCTTGTGGCTGTGTAAATCTGTTAAAATTGGGTAACAAGAAGTTCATTTGGGAAGATCTAAGTAGAGAGATAGTTGGATTTTCAACAACTCTATTGTAAAGGCTAGCCTGTCAAAACAGATACCCAGGTCTAGTACCCAGTCTTAGTAACTAGATGGACAAAAACTTCAGGTTGAAAGTCACAGAGGTATCACCAACCAGGCTGTCAAAACAAACCGGAGAAAAAGAATATTGGGCTGACCTGATATATCGATAGATTGATCATAGTCTTACATGGGCTATCTGGATTGGGAGTTTGGTAAAAGAATAGGAGAAAAGGCAAAGGTATACTAAAGTACTGAGATTATACTGTGAAGTAGATGCTAGGTTTAAGTGAACTCTACAAGAGCATAGTGGTTTAATAATTAGTTCTGACCACAAGTGTTGGTTCTGCTATAGCAATATCTAAGTTAGCTGTAAAAATAAGTACAGAAGGCTCTGGAGGGTTTACCTTAAGAATAAATTAGTCCTAAGGTTGAGGATGATAATCTGAACATCTGAGATGACCAGTGATATTAATACAAGTTACAGGTTCAGAGAGTTTAAAGTGGAACACCCAAGCAGAGGTGTTAGGTATAGCAATTGATAGGGAACCTTTAGGCAGACTCCTTAAATAGGTAATATAGAAAAGTTACATATATAGCCAATTGTACGCTCTTTTGTAGTGGTTCATTGAACCATAATACCAATAAGTAATTAATAAAAGTCAAAAGACCAAAGAAGTCACCTTAAAAAAAAAAAAAACAAAAAAAAAAAAGCAAATAATAAAATATCTAAAAGAAAATAAAACTATAAAAATAAACAAAAGTTTACTAGAAGAATATAAAGAAAGTTTAAAAGTAATTTTTATAAAAAAAGCATACTAAGTAATAAATAGCATATATAACAAAATTTTTTTAAATAAGATAGACAAAAACATTTATAATGTCTAATAGAAAAAATAGAGTTATTGTAATGCTTACAGAGCAAAATTTAAATAAGGTGTTTTTTTTGTGATTAGTAAAAGAAATATTAGAAAATCAGAGAAAGAGTAATCTAAAAAAAGTTAAATATAGTTATAAAAAACCAAAACATAATAATAGAAGCAAAAAGAAAGCAAATATAGAATAATTAAAATGAAAAATAATAAATAATAATAAAAATAAATAAAGAAGAAAATAAAAACAAAAAACAAAAAAAAAACAAAAAAACAAAAAAAAACTTAAAAATATAAGAAAATAACAAAAAAAAGTTAATATATTATATAAAAAAATAAACAAAGATAAGTATATAAAAAAATAATAAAGTAATATCAGAATTCTCAAAATATGAATTCCATAGCTTAGCAGTTAAGTGCTTATACTCTTATAGTTAAGGTCAATAGTTCAAGTTCAGCTAGAAGCAAAATTAAAAGATTTTAGTTTCTGTAATCAAATAAGAAGCCTATAATTGAATATGAAGTTCTATAGCTAAGTCCAAGTACAGTATATAATAGAAACAAGAATTTTTGAAAGGAAACTCAATTGTGAAGTATAGCTACTATATGTAACAAGTAGTTATTACAAAAGGTTATAGTTATGAAAAGATGATATATATAAGTTCTTCAGGTTAGAATAGCATTAACATCTTTATACTTTCTAATATAGACAGTACTAATATTTTTGCAGCCAACTTGTAAAATACTTGCTTGAAAAGATAATCAATAAATTATATGAATAAGTTCTAATTAAGATTGAAAGAAAAGATTTAATTGAAAGAGTAGTTTGAAGTAATTAAGACTAGAATGATAAAAGAAGTGATGAACATAAGAATGAACTGTAGTAAAGAATTGACCTAACCAAAAATTGGAAGCACCTCTGGTATAGCCAAATAGTCTAATTATAAAAGAAAAGATTTTGAAAATTGGTATATAACTTTCTTGTATAGTATAAAGATACCAAATCAGGTTCTGGTTATACCTATATGAAATTCTATAATGAACAAAACTGTGATCAACTAACCAATATGAGATAAGATTTGCAAAATAGTATAGCATTACTAAGATCAGTATAACTCCTTAGACATAACCAGAATTATTTTATAAATATTATTAAATAAGCTAAAAGCTTGCAATATATAGTAGTATAGTATCATTAAGATTAGAGAACCTTTTTAGATATAATTAGAATTGTTCTATTTTTAAGTGTAATAAGTCTTAGTCTCTATTATAGAAATAAGCATCTTGTTAGAGGTTAAATGCAGTACCAAGTTACTGTATGATACTAAGATCTAAGGCATCTACAAGAACAGTAATAGCAGATCTAACTTAAAATATAGATTAGTTAAAAAACCAATGATAGCAGCAGGTCTGGCTTGAAATATATGTTTATTGTAGATCCTAAACTATTGTCAAAACATCTTGAAGAAATCAATAATAGACATACTAAAGATGGAAGATCAAGGATCAGACATACTTGAGTAGGACCAATTTGGAAGTAATACAGTGATAAAAAGATAAGAAATATGAGAATCAAGATATTACTAGATATAGTTAAATTAGAAGACAGAAGAAACAAAACCAGATAAAATATATGAATAAGACATATAAATATAATTATAGAAAACAGTATCTTTGACATTTAGAATATTATATTAAGTTCAGTAGGTATCTTTGTCTGTATAGTAGTTTAATGATGTGCTCTAATTGCAAGTAGTTGCCAAGATAACTGTATGCAAACATATAGAAGACATGTACTTAGATGTCATAAGAATAACTGAATAAAGTTAGTGATATAATATTAGATATTAAATATAATACTAGTATAATTAATTCAGAATATATAACTGTAAAACCTATACTATATTAATTAAAAAGCTTAATAAACCAACTGGCATTGTCACTAAAGTTAAAAAAAAAATCATAATTCTTTATTTAGAAATAAAAAATTAAAGAATAAAGAAGAAAGACTAAATAAGAAAATATAAAATAAATAATAAGTAATCAAGACAAAATATATTAAAAAATAAAAAAAAAAGACAAAAGAAAAGAAAACAAAAAATAAAAAAATAATCAATATAATAGAAATAGCATTAGAGCAGAATATATAAGTATTAAACAAAGAAAGTTATAATTGAAACAATAGTTTACTTGCTAATATACTAGTATATTATATTTTAAAAAAACAAATAAAGAGTGTATAAAGTTTATTTTTTTAAAATATTAATGATGAGGCCATGCCTTTAACTTTATTAAAATTCAATTAAAGTTTTTACAAAGAAAAGCTTGCTTTTAAATTACATATAAAGAATAAAAATACAGACATATAATCTGTGATCTAAATCTATAAGAGTAGCTAAGACTTATCTAGATTTGGGTTTGAGTAATAATATAAGAAAGAGGGATATGGTATTTAATCTATTGGATAGTCCAAAGATCAATTTTAGTAATAATTTGTTATATTGAAATAGAAGGTAGAGGTAGGTTGTATATAAAGTTTATTAGATAGCCTTTAAAAAATAATATATATAAAAGGTATTAATTACAAATTCAGATATGATCTGCAATAATACTTATAGCTTTTATTATAA